CAGTAACAATATATTTTGTTATTAAGAAGGTGTTTCCTAAAAACGTGCCATTAATGTGAGTGTTGATTCCGATGTCCAGAGTCTAAGAAATGAATAAAACTTATGCTAGAGGAGGGACTAAAAAAAATCTTCAGTTGTGAGGTATTTTATATCACAAAAACTTTATACACAAATGCCTTAAATTGTATACAACCAATATATATATCCTTTGTACTTTAAAACAACAACTGTAATGCTTCGGATTGTAGACATAGACGTATTACTAATGTGCACTTATGCGAATTGCTAGCATATACACAACGAAAGGACTAGCAAAATCTTGTAAACTTTGCCCTTGTCTGTTACCCCGTTGGAACAAAGCGCAGAAGAGTGCCCTAGAACTACGTGGAGACGTACTCTATGGAAATAAACAACTAATCAACTAAGATACCTACTTTAAATAGGCTAAATTATAGGAATTTAGTTAAGCAACTTACTCTTGATAGACTTCAATGCAAACTATTTGTGACGACCTTATATTTCATGCAGAAATTTATAGTAATAAATATATATATATTATAATTCAATATTATTTATGTTTCTTTCTTATCAATTCATGTAAGAAGATGTTACTGTTAGGTTGTATTAATTCATATATTTTATAGGAAATTTGAGCAGAACTACGACTTTATGGAAAAGGCTGGTTGGAAGTTAAACGACTAAATTCTGATGGACTTTAAAGGAACTTATTTGTGACTATTCTAAATATAATATAAATATAAAGAATTAAGAAGCCCTATGCTCTACTGGAAATTAGGATCAGAGAGTGATAATGAATTAAATATATATATTATAATTATTTATTTTTCTATCTATTGAATATGTTATTAGGTTAGGTTAAAATCGGAAGGCGCGTGCTGACCGTTGTCAGCACTTCCATTCGGAGGCATATATTACCAATTGTGATGCCCTCAAAAATTTTGCCGGGAGAGGCGAATTGCTAATCTTTGTAATCCTTGTTAAACCATTTGGTTTTCCAGATGAAGTTGAGGAGATGCGATAAGTTTACTTTCGTTATTTCTTCCAAGTCAGTGAAAAAGCGATCCCCTAAACATTGAAGTCGCTTTGTCTAAAGTCCTGGACAGAGACAGAAGAAGTGGTTGATAGATTCTACCTCCTCTTCATCTTGGCAACTCCTGCACAATCCGCTTGTTGGAATTCGTCACCATTGGAGCATAGGTGCAATGGTACAGTGCTCCGTAAGTACTCCAGTAAGCACACGAACTGCAGGTTTGCTGAAGCCTAAAAGGCTTTTCGTTTTATTTTTGTCTAACATAGGCCATAAGGTTCTAGTGACCTCACAGTCTTCACGGTTAGTCCATAAATTGTTTGTCACCGTGTTGATGATTTCCTGTATCATCCTAAACAGTTCACATATTAATAACATATGTTATTGATTCTGCAACAAAATATATTGTTACTTTTTTTATAATAAAATAATCTTTAACAATACTACAAAGTAATCATGAACAAATAGAAAAGTAACGATATTTGATTTTGTTTACGGTTTTTTTTAGATTTATTTAACTTATGGAACGTTAAAATAAAGTTTCTAGTTAAATTGATAATTATAAAAAAGTTAGCGTATATAATGAAATTAATGACAAAGAAAATAATTTTTAATTTAAAACTTAATGCTCAGCGAAGCGTTTCTCTTGTGCTCACAGATACATCTAGTGTTTTAGTATCTGTACTACTAAGATTTATTGTAAAACTTGGTTTTATTCTAAAAGTTGGTTTTATTCTTAAACTTGATTTTATTCTAGAACTTAGTTGAACAACAATCGAACTTATATATTTCCGCTTAAAGTGTACTAATTAAGTTCAAAATATAAATAGCAAAGGACATGCAGTAGAACTGCTACCACTGTTCATATCTACTAACTGATTTGGTTTATGCAAATCTTCCCATGTACTTCACTTCAGCCGAGGAGACATTTAAATACTGATTTTGGTACTTTTGTCAAACGTGATGAACATTTGTGCTTGAGATCAACAGTTTTAATTGAAAAAAGTGCAACTGAAATCAGTGCAACATCGTCAGTATCTTTTCTTCTTTGGCATCCATGCAACAAAAAAGACGTGAGCTGATCGTAAAGATTTTTTTGTCAGCTACATTTTAACTAAACAGTTAAGTAGTTAAGAAAAAGAAATGTGTTGTTTTTGTCCGTTCATTTGATTCTTTTAAATTCGGTACATTCTTCAGCAGACAATTTAAATGTTTTCAATTGTTACTTTATTGCCTTTGATGCCACTTTTTGTATTGTTCCTGTTTATATACACATATATATTATATATATCTATATGTATATTTATATAAATAATTTTAATTTTTTTATATAAATTTTTTTTGGGGCCGTCAAATGTCGGTGATGATAAAGGTTCCACTGATATGTCTTCAGTGATTTGTGGCATTCATTATATTTTATCTTAAGTACATTTTAGTGTGGGCTTAAAAAATTGTTTCAACACAGTTGACTGCTAAACTTGAGACTGATCAAGTAATTTTGATAAGTTTTTTCCTTCCTCTACTGAAGAATGTAAATTTGATTTGATTGTTAAGCGTTTGTGTTGAATGTTTAAATTCTAAAGTATTTAATTATAATTTTTGTATTTTTGTACAGATTTCGTGTATTTGCTAAGCTTCTCTTGAAAGGTTTCTGCCTTGTGGTAAATTACAAGTTACAATGGTTGAAAAACACACAAACGTTTGCCAATGAAAGAGTTTAATGATAATGACATCAATTTAAGATGATGATTCAGTTTGTTCCATTTTGTGCAGTAGTAAGTCGTGAGTTAAGAGTTGTTCTTACGATCATTTATCTTCATCTGCTATTCACTTCTTTTTTAATATTATTTTTTGAAAAGTTTAAAAAAAAGAATTATTATTGTATTTTTATATCAAGCGATTGAAAGTATTGGTTTTAAGTTTGTTTGTGAAAAAATGTTCCTTTAAAGTTTGTTAAAAGAGTTTTTAATATATAATAGTAAATATCTCATTAGAAAACAATAACAAAAACAGAATATAAAATTTTGACATATGTACTAGTTGAATTGATAAATACCCTCCCTAAGTAATTAAAACATTTTTTTGGAAAATTGTATTATACGCTTTAATACAGTCCCCTTTCAACTTGATATACCGAATCCAAAGACCTTTCAACATTTGAATACTTTTAAATTATACGATCTATTAAGTCCTCAAAAATATACCGCAGTTTCACCTATAAAGCAAAATTTTTTTCTTCAACAAATGTGGTTGTTTTTTCTTCATTTCCTTCTTATTTTTTTTGTTTTCCTTTTTACAAATAGTCTATATCCACTTGAATCCCAAAAAACGAAAGTCAAAACTTTTCCCGCCGATTGTTAACTTCGTGGTCATTTGGGAGCAATACTCCCCGGCTCTACGCATTGTCTGGCAGAAAAACAGAAGTAATGGATCTATGTTTCATGGATTTTCACTCGACGCTTACAGTCAGCTAGATTGTGGGTAAACATTTCCAGACAATGTTTTAAATGACGAAGTTGTTTTCATTTTTGGTCAATTCATACTCAAATATTCATGTAAAATATTCGATACATGTCCATTTGATATGTTTCTCATCTCTGCTATGTCAAGCAATGAAATTTTTGGATCATCCAACACAATATCGAGGACTGTTTAATGTTTTCTTCACTTGTGATCTCTTTTGGACGGAGCCGGATGCACTTCTCCAAAAACACTCGTACAACCACGTTTAAATTCAACTTTCCAATAGTTGCGAAACTTTTACAGCTGTCGTTTCAAATTGACCAGATATATAAAATATAATTGATTTTAGAAAAAGCAGTAAAAAAAGCAGTGGTTTTGTTTGTCCTAAAATAATGTCAGTTTTATAGTAGGATTGCTACATAGTTGATATAGGGAAATCATATAGGTTGAATATTTCCTTTTTCAGCTTTTGTAGCTACTGTGAGTGAGGGAGATAAAGAAAGTGATCCACATCTATCTCGTATACAGTGCATATGCAATGTAGATTAAATGTGTTAGGAATATATATTCAAAATAATATTAGTCAATTACAAACCCCACTCTTGAAGTAAATTTTTGCCTTTTTAAAAGATATGAATTCTTTTTAAACCACTGAGTTTTTAACTTCAATATAACAAGTCAGAGAATGAAACTCCTCACTGAGTTTTTAACGTCAATATAATAGATCAGTGAATGAAACTTCAGGATTATAGTAACAACTATAATCATTTATAATCATTATATGTCATTTACATAACGCTCAATGTAATTAATAGTAACATAATTGTTTTGTATTTCGAAGCCTTTCTAATATCTCGAAAAAACAGTTGTATAAAAATTGAAATTTTCACTAAGTTCGGTCTTTTAGTTTATTTTCGAAAATTATTTTTATTGCAATTTTATTACATGTTAGTTAGTTCAACTGATGTATGTTAGAAGCATTTAAAAACACATAAAATTAAATTAAAAATTTTTCATGTGTGTATTTCTGGTTTTGTAGTGCCATATTATACAGAGAAAGATATAACCGATTACTATTTAAAGTCAGAAAGTCTTCAGTACATTAGTCTTTAATTCTTCTGCTCACATGGATTAATGAGTTTTAATATTAAAAAGTACAAACGGTATTTTAACATTCAGATATTTTTTTAACCCCTTTTTTTGGGTTAAGAAGACACGCACTTCTCGGCTTCCTCTTCCTGAAGTTGTAGTACTTGTTTCTGAAGCTTAAACGTTTATTAAAAAATGATTAAAACAGAAATTTTATTACATGTTTTCTTAATTAAGTAAATTTTATTGTAGTTTAAATACACACAAAGGTGAAATGACTACGTAACTAAGCATAGTTGAATTTTGTATATTAAAGCCACCATAAAATAAATTAAATAAACACTCATATATACATTAGATTTAGATATACGTATCTACATGGTTTAGGTGTGAAACTTACCTCTGAGAAGTCGCGCTGTGACATTTTTATCATTTCATGCGTTCCAAGTTCGCTGGATTTCTCATTTGAGGTACTAAAATTCAGCGGTAAATTTAAAATGTTCTCATAGTTCGTCATCGGTAAGTTTAATACTTTAAAATTATAATTAAAAAATTTAAAAAGTATTTTAATTAACGCTCATTTAGTGTTACATTGTAAGTTGTTTGTGTAAAACAATCAAGATGAGTTTAATTTAAGTGACTGTACTGAAAATAAAAGAGGTAAATTATTAAATTTTTTTGTTAAATTATGTAAATAACTATAAGATATAGGATAATATTTGAAAACTAAAAATAACTATAATTATTTAATTCAATTATACTACTGCTGGTTTATGATTTGTTAATCAAATCTCACAGCTCTAACATTTAAGTCAAGTAAGGCTTTGGGTCAATTGGCTAATGACACTGATTCTGAGCTTCAAACTTGGCAGGATACGAGTTAAATTCTTGGTACTTGCAGTCTTTGAGAAATAAATATTTTTGAATAAATAAATATACGAAATAATTTCAAAACCAATGATGATGGATATTTGGTAGTACTCGAAACAGCTATACGGTGAGTCAAAAATTTAATTAATTAAAATTAAAATTTTGTTGTTGCAATTCACTACTGTTTGAAATCTTTCTATTAAATATAATGATTTCTATTAAGTAAAATAGGCACTGTTGTCATAAGTGATGTTAAAATCAAATTTAATAATAATTGGGCTTTTCTTTTGTAAGCATATCGCAAAAAAACAACCGCTTATTTTAAAAATAACATGTGAAACAACAGCATTGCTAGCTTATTTAGTCCAACTTCATTGAAATTGCTTACTTAATAAGCAGCTAAAATCGCATGGTTGTCAAGAAATGTAATTGCGAACAAGTATTATTTATTTTCGAAACTTTAAATTCTATTACGTGTTTTGCATCAAAGTAGAAGTAGCCATCATAAGTACTGTTTATTTAATGTTGTATATATAATACCTATATACTATTGAGTTGTTCAGGAAGTAATTTCGATTTTTTCCTAACAATCTTATTCTATTATTTTTAGAGCCAATTTCAGACTTAATCGGCATATTTTATAATATATTTAGATAGTTAGATTTAGGTAGCTTGATAGCTAGATATAGATTTTGATAGATATAGCGCGGCTTGATTATGATAAAATTCGATTGATCATTTTCACTAGTTTATAGTTAGTGTCCTTTAAAGTATAGAAAATAAAACGCAACATTTTCGGCATATTTTACAATCGAAAAGGTAAATATGCTGTTGACGAAGGACTAAAATTATCCGATGTGTGTGGAAAAGATGTATTGACAGATCAATGGTACAATTTTGATGTTAAAGGTGTACAACCTTTTGAAAGACCAGTTGAAGTTGATAATGACACAATAGAGGCATTAATTGATGCAAATCAGTGGAAAATGAACTTGTGACATCTCTGAGACATTAATTAAATTGATATTATCAATTATCATTTGCAACGCTCACCTTTTATCTCAAGTTTGACATAAGAGTTTCCTATGTTCTGAAGCATAGTAATTTGTACCGTCGCGTTGACGTTTATGACTACCACTGGAGATGAAAAATTGGTTGTCTATAACATTGTTAAATGCAAAAGATTATAGAGTAAAAAAACGAAGCCTGCTTTAAAACCAATATTTAGCAAAAAAAAACTAATGTCATTTATTTGGTGGGATTTCAAAGGAATAGCTACCACCGAATAACAATTGTGAAGTGTACTGTCATTAGCCGAACAAATTAAATGATTCACTTAAACATTTATGTTATAAATGTAATTTTTAATTTTTGAAAGACAAATGACCAATAATAAAAATTTTGATTAATTGTATATGATTTGAATCATTGCAGTGATTAAGGATGCAATTATAAAAAGCGCACAATAAATCTCAATTTTTAATGGCTTAAACAGACTAAATTTCATGTGAATGAAATTTATGGAGTAAACCTATCGACAAGAGTTTAAGAAAGGTGTTTTCTGCTACAGTCTGCGCAAAATTACGATATATCTAATGTGTCATTAAAACAATTATACAAGTTGATCTTGGGAATAGCGGGCTTTAAGTATTTTTTTTTGCTACAGTACCTTATCTGGCTGGCAAATCAGCAGCACTCTTCAAAAATGTCTCAAAGAATCAGAATTGTCTAACTAAATTGGTATCTTGATTAGAGACATGTAATAGTTTACCACTATCTCCGATTTAAATTGGATCGATTTTTCTACTGAAAATATTACCGTTTAGAATATGATTATATAGAAGCAACGTCTGTCAGATCAGTAACACTGATCTTTATATGAAGTTGATGAACATCTTCTGCTGATTGTAGTACTTTGTTCTCAATAGAGCGTAATGTTGTAATATATATAAGATAAATACAATATTTTAAAAATACTTTAAATACGATTTATTAATACAATTGTTTTTTCATATAGTAGTTTTATTATATTTAAAATTTAGAATTGAAAAATTATGTTAAAAATTCGAGATAAAAATTTGACCAAGTTTTTAATAATGAGACTCTTTTGAGTTTATTTAACCACTATATCATATAGACATAATTAAAATTGAGTTTTCCAAATTTTTGTGAAGTTAAATTAGCACAAAATAATTGATTTGCTACATCACACTGTTTCGGTATTGAAGAATATTGAAGATTCGGCAAAGCTAAAAGCTAAACTTTTTTCCTACTTTTACGACTTTTGGCTACCAGTTTTGTATTTTTTATGACCATAGAATCCTTATAATTTTTTTAGTTCAAAAACTATCTGCTTGAATTACAAAGGTTACACCTATTAGTATATGAAGTTAATGAAGTGAGAAATTGGTATCGAGTCTTCAAATTGAAGTTAAACTGCTTTCTTGAAAAGTTAAAAGTCATTAATGTAAGCATTAAAAATTGATTAGTTATCATTTCTCTTAACCTATAGCATACACACAAATGGTATCACATCTTCATTATAAATTTCAAGAAATTATGGAGCAATACATGAAACCTTAAAACGAAAGACAATCTAACTTGTAGGATGGCAGCATTACTAATAACTGTAAAAAGTAGATTTAAATATATTGCATTACTTTGATAAGAATTTATGGGATAAGTTTTGTTGCGAAATTGTTGTAATAATGTGAACTTCAAGGATTTGATTTGATTAACTATTTAAGATAATAATAGAATTGAATATGTGTAGCATAAAGCTAAATGTCTGTATGAAATATATGAATATATATGGAAAGTAATTATGTACACACATTGTCTTTTCATTGATACATAGTCTTAAATTCAATACCTTCTGCATGTCGATATGTAACACATCCTTTCCGCCAAGTATTTTCGGTAAATTTATTCTTTGTAGTATTAATATTATTATTACTGCTAACGTCTTCTTTATCATGAATAAAACTATGAATAAATATTATGAATTGTTATTTTCATTATTAATTTGTGTATTATTGGTATTATTATTATATTCTTATTATTATTCTATAATTAATACTTTTTTTGCAGAATAAATATTTGACAGTTAGTGCCTGGAATTGATGCATTTGAGTATATAAGTAATTTTTTATAAGTTATTTTTGCTTAACATCTATTAGTTTAAAATATCGATTAGTAGGGATGCAATATCTTTTATGTTCTTATATTAAGCAAATCTTTTTTGACAAATGCCAATCATAGAAATAGATGTTTTCCATTTATACCTCATATTACACAAACACAAAGTTTTTATTACTTTGGCCAATTATTTATCAATTCACCTAACAACATATGTATAGGTATACTATAATATAATAATACTAATAAAAACTGCTATAAATTTATTGTGCATGTATTTTATATCAATTACATATAAAACTACTAAAGTTGGAGAAGTTCTGAATTTTGACAAGCATAACCAAATCTGAACCGATCGATATTATTTTATAATAAATATTTTCTTCTTTAGTATACAGCTAAATTCTAAATTATAAGCAAATACATTGAAAAATAAAAAGTCCTTTTTTCTAAGAAAAATGTGTTTATCGGATATATTTAAATCTAAACTGAACAATCCTATCTTTATTACATTTTAGAAATCATACATAAGTTCCAAATTTGATTTGACATTTATCAGAAAATATGAGAGTACTTCTAAGAAAAACATGTGCCTGAATCGGCAGTTTACATGGAAGCTTTATCTAAATCTAATATGAATTGATATAAATATATATAAATATAAGTACATTCTGTTAAAAATTTTATTTAAATATCTTTATTTAAAACAAAGAAAACTTATACGTGCAATGTTTCATACGAATAGCTCAAAAACTGAAAGAAATACTTTAGTATACTGAAATAGACAGACGGATAAGATTAATAGAATTCAACTCGTCGAACTGATCACGCATGTTTTTTGACTGACAGCTAGGTAGCTATAATGACACTCATATCCTACCAGGTGTCATCTAAACTGGTATGGGAGTGTATTGACAAGCTGAACATACTTGGCTGGAACAATCAGGTGCACTTAAAATGGATTCCGATAATATGGATGCTGGTATCCAAGGCAATGAAACGGCAGACAAACTTGCAAGAAGAGGCGCAGTGTCAAGAATGATAGGCCCAGAACCATTCAGTGGTCTAGGCAAAGGAGCTCTATATGTTCTTATGAATGGTGCAGAGAAAAAAGAAAGAGAACTCTATTGGGAAAGGTTATCAATAAAATGTTGTTAGGGACTTACAACCTAAAACCCTTCAAAGATTGCATAACGCAATCAACTTAAGAATTATTACGGTTTACTGTAAATTGAATAATTACCTATCGAAGTTAGGAATTCAATCCAACTCAGACTGCAGATACTGTAAAGAAGAGAGAGAAACTGCATACCATGTGCTCGGCACTGATGCACAAGCGGAAGAAACACCTAGGAGGGTATTTCATAGATCATAAAGATTCAAGACTAGGAAAGGTAGGCTCTATACTGTCTTTCATTAAGGAAATCGAACTTGGAGAAACATTCTAACCCGAGAAAAGGGCACAATAGATCTTTTAGGTCGCAGTGCACAATCCGTTCTTTTTAATAATAAAATGTGGTAGCTAACTGACAAATTACTTAAGAATTGCGAGGGTCGACCGCATTATCTCTTCTTCTTTAACATATATTTCTATCAATTTATGAAGTGTAATTT